CCACCACTGTTACCTTCCTGGTAACAGTGCACAACATTTAAGCAAAGTTAATTGACTCAGCGACCCTGCCTGACCGTGTATACTGTATTCCACAATTGTAGTTTGGTCTGACTTTCCCTGAAGAATTTTGGACCCATATATAGACTCTTTCTGTGACCCTCTGGACACCTGTTCTCCCCAAATCTAGGATGTGTGTTAGGTTATACACAGCTCTCCTCTCTTTCTCTGTTACATATCTTAAAGTAGGTGGTTGCTTCCTTTTAAAATTCCTATCCCTTCTGGTTCAGCAAACTCCTTGTTGGAGAGGCAAATTTAGGCCTGAAAGAAAGAAAATGCTTTAACCATTATTGCTCCCTCAAAGTGGAATGGGTACATTCTTCCTCACTGGAGGCCCAGAGGTCTTCAAGAGCTCTTACTGGCTATGGTGTAGAAGATGTTCTTTCAGGTTAACATAGGGCTAGTTATCCTCTAGGCTACCTTCTAATTCTGTGATTCTGAGAAGTTATGATGACCAGCTCTGGGTCCCACTCAGTTAAGGACAATGCATCCCATTCAGCTTGTGTCTCCTTATTGGATCTTTGTCATACATTGCCTCTGGTAGCTAGACAGGGGACTCTCACTCAAAGCCCTAGGTAGTGACTGAGGGGATGAGAATCTGTTCTTCAGTAATAAGTAACAATAATGTTCTTCTGGTATATAAGGACTGGTGTGGTGGTGGAGAAAAATGACCAGCTGGGGGGAGTCTGGTGGGCTTTGTGGAAAGCTCTATTCAACGCATTGAATGCCTGCTGTGTACAGAGTACTAAGCTTGATTCTAAGAGAAGAAATGAAGAAATGGTAAGGTCCCTGGCCTACTAGTGGCTCCTAATTGAAAGTTCTTGGCATAGTCAATTCTAAGCAAAATTGTAAAGTTTGAGGTTTTTCTTTGGTGACCTTCATTTGTCTTGTTTGTATCACTTTCTCTACCCCCTTCCCCCACAATCCTTTTTCTCCAAAGGATCTCATATTAATACTTAGAAATTTAAATCAAAGACTTACCTCTCAAGACCCTTCACATTTTAAACCATTTCTAATTGTAGCATACTTTATTAACGTATATGTACCCACAGACACACAACACACACATATATATATGCACACATGCATATATACGCATATACACAGGTAGTAACTGGACCACTTTCTTTGTATATAAAGGCTCCTTTAGTTTCAAGTTACTTGGTAGATCCCCATTCATTCAAAAGCTATAGTTAATGAGCCCCTAGCAACGTGCTTACTTTTACCAGTAAGTCAAAGACACAAATAAGTTCAAAGCAAAGGCATTTGATGATATAGCATTGTAAGAAAAGTAGTGATAGACCATCACACTTTCTCACAAACACACATACTGTCAATGGAAGAGCGGGAATGCATTAGACGTGCTCATAGGGTGTATGAGGCCAGCTTATGTCTCTGACAGTACAGGATCACCAATATCTTCTGGTTATATTATCAAGTCTCTCTTGGAACTCGCTTCCCGCTGGACTTCCTTTTCCAGTTTGGTGCTGTATCTGTGAGCCTTTTGATATCAGTTCAAGAATATGTGTATGGGCCTAATATTCCTCAGGGAAAGTCTTTTCTTCTTTGTCCCTCCTGGGTTTTTCTGTTTCTGCCAGATGTATCAGTCTGCTGTTCTCATAGTCTTTTCTAGGTAATTCTCCCCTCTACCAGCTTCAAGTTTTCATCTCTTCAGGGCTCCGTGCCTGCCACCTAGTTACCATATACTAGAAGACTAGAACTGAGAAGCGTCTCTCTGACAAGGGCAGGGTGATAGCTCCTTAGTCTTAACCCGATCAGCCCCAGCCCACAAAACGTAGGTACAGAATGCCCCCAGGAATCACATTTAATAACTTCTTCTTCACCTTATATTTGGAGCAGTCCTTTGTCATCAACAACCCTCTGACTTAGAAATTCTCAAGAGCCTCTTGGCTTAACATGCAAATGAATTTGAATCAACTCGAGGTAAACAAGGGTGGCAAGGTCATTGTTAGCTACCTGCTTCACCTGAATTCCAACCTTTATTGTGTATGTTATTATTATGTATGTCAACCCCAAACTCTCTAGCTTTGCTATTATATTTTGGCCAGTGGGTTGTGGGTGGGTGGGAGGGAAAAACTTATTGTCTCCCTCTACATATTGAACAAATTTTAAGCCTCAATCAGCAAGTGAGGGAGGCCTTGGCAAAGGAAAAGTTCTACTTATTAAGAGTTTCATAATTTCCCCTGAAACTTATCAGTTGTATAAAGCAAGATATGATTGGATTTAGTTTGTATTATATTATCATGAACTAGCTTTTATCCTCCAATCCAAAATTTGCCAACATGTGGGCAGTGAACATCCAGGTACAGAGGTGCCATGGAGCTATTATAAAGGCTCCATCAATCCATATGTGTACCAGCGTCCCAATTGCCTGGGACATTGAGAGATGAAATGACTTACCCAGGATCATTTGGTCAAAATGTGTCAATAACAGGACTTGAACTCGGGTCTTCTTGACTCTTAGGCCAGCTCCCTATCAACTATGCTACACTGCCTTTTTGTCAAGCATTTTTTCTCCATTAGCAGATACTAATAACATAACTACTTTCATGTAGGTGTTAGTAATAGATTTTTTTTTTTTACTTTTCAAAGGGTCTTTATAATCAAAAAGGTTAGAAACCACTGATTTAGCTGTTTTATTTCTTATTTTCCCAACCAATTCATTAACTCCTTGAGGGCAGGGGTTGAATCTTTCTTCTAATGGTCCCGCAGCACCTTGCACAAGAGCAGTTACCCAGATATTAAAGTACTAGATGCTCTATCTCACACTTCCATCGAGCTCCTGACATTGGTAACCCTCTACTTGGTCTCCTGGTAAGGCTAGTTCTGCTCTTTGTCCAGGAATAGCGAGAGGAGGTTTGAATGTGGGGTCAAGGTGGGGGGGGTTATGGTGGGAGGTGGGGGGAGACAGAAGCTGGAGGGATGCCTGTTGACCACTCAGTTCAAAACTAGGCTTCAAGCTCACAGGACGGATAATATTTGTTGAGTATCTGCTATGCATCGGCCCTGTATCAGGAGCTGTGAGAGCTACAAATAAATCCCCTCCATAAAGGAATTTATAATCAGATTGATGAGGGAAAAGTAATACAACGAGGCTGTGAATGCAGATCCAAAAAAGAACCATCCCATCTATACAATGGACTTTTCTTAATTGCACAGAAATCCTAATATTTAACATGTTAAGAGCGCTCAAGACAATTTTATTGATGCCTTTTGTTTCATGTGTCAACCATTTCCTGATATTCCTCCTCCCTTTCGCCCTATTGAATTGTCTCTATTAATAAAGAAAAATGATTAAGTGAAACCAACCGACTAAGTCACCATGTTGGGAAGCAAATGCAACATCTTGCATCGTGGTCTTCCACCCCGTTAACAAGTGCTGGGAAGTGTGTTTCATCCTCTGTCCCCTGGGACCAAGCTTGGTCATGACGATGCATTGGGGTCTAGCTGGTCTTTTTTTGTTTACATTCTTGTAGTCACAGAGTATACCATTCTGGTTCTACTTTCTTTGTTCTGTATCAGTTCATAGAAGGCTTCCTATGTTTCTCCAAGTTCCTTGTGTCTGTTGGTTGGGGGTGCTTTTCAAAATGTAAATGACCATATCCTAATCTGTTTTCTAAGACTGAACTCTCATAAAATGGAGTATGAATGTGCAAAAGGGATGCCAAGTTAGGGTGCTATCATGATCCAGGAATGAGGCAAATGAGCTGATGAAAGTTTCCGTTTATATTGTGTCTCACAGTTTAACAAAGGGCTTTCCCTCAGAGCTATCTTATGGACTATTGCAATATTTTCCTAAATGGATTCCCTCCCTCAACCTTTCTTTTCTTCATTCCATCATTCATACAAGTACCAAAGTGATTTTCCTTAAGTACAGGTCTTCTCCTATACTTTCTAAACTCCTATGGTTCCATATTGCTACTTTGAAAAAATATGAACTTATCTGTTTGATAAAGTCCTTCATAACCGGGCACCAACCTATATTTCCAACGTCATTATACTTTACTCTGTTTTATTTCTTTCTGTTCTTCATATGACACCATATCTCCCATCTCCCCCATCTGTCCCATCTCTACTGGTCATCTCCCATATGCCTCCAATGCATTACCTTTTTACTCCTGCCTCAAAAAATCCCTTGCTTCCTTCAAGACTTAGTACAAGCACTACCTTCTGAATATAATTTTCCTTTATTTCTTTCCCCATGAATTCTCAATCATAAGTGTCCTCCCTCTCTAAACTTTGTTGTTTAGGCATTCTGGATATGTCTGACTCTTTGTGACCCCATTTGGAGTTTTCTTGGCAGAGATACTAGAATGCTTTGCCGTTTCCTTCTCCAGCTCATTTTACATATGAGAAACCTAAAGCAAATGGGCAACTAGGTGGCACAGTGGAGGTGCCCAGCTTGGAGTCAGGAAGACTCATCTTCCTGAGTTCAAATCTGGCCTGCTTCAGACACTTCCTAGCTATGTGACCCTAGGTAAGTCACTTAACCTTGTTTGCCTCAGTTTCCTCATCTATAAAATGAATTGGAGAAGGAAATGGCAAACCAATCCAGTATCTTTACCAAGAAAACTCCAAGTGACGTCATGAAGTTGACCATGACTGAAAAATGACCAAATGAAAAAAGCTACTTAGAAGAAGGAAAAACTCTAATAGTGATAATGGTCAGTGCTTCCTTCTCCTCATCATAGACGTTCAGAAGTAGCTCAGTGGGAGTGTATCACTCTTGGACTATCTACTTTTCTAGACTTTCTGTGGTATTAGGGGTAAAGAGCACTTGGCTTGCTATTATAGGTGACCTAGGGTTGCAGATAAATGACTTGGGTGTCCTCTGATGCTGAAGGGTGGGGGTGGTAGCTGAGAAGGGGACATGAACATTTTGAGGCTCAGTGGGACCCCATTGTTTTCTCTTCTGTCCTCAGCGTCCCTTCCAGATGTTTTCTTCTGTCAGTTTCAAATGGCCTAAGAAGGATGGAATTGTAGAAATCCCATATCTCTTCTCCAGCAAATATGGTGAGCACAGGCCCTGGGAGAAGGTTAATGGACTGCTTCCTAGATGTTGGGAACCTGGCAGAGTGGTGTGGGCAGCAGGCTGGGGAAATAATAAAAATTTTGTTGCTATTTGGGTCATTCTTGGGTCCCCCTTATTTTATGCCCTACTCCTGGTGTTTCTTTGTCTTCTCTTTCCAACTCTCTGTTCAGCTGGACCTCTTCCTTCACAAATCTCACTAAGGACTCCTTTCCATCCACCCCTAGTGATAGTCCTTCTAGGGGCCTCTTTGGGCCTTGAAAAAACTTTTAAAAAAATCATTGTTGTTGTTTATCAGTTATTTCAGTCGTGTCTGATTCTTTGTGACCCCATTTGGATTTTCTTGGCAAAGATACTAAAGTGGTGGTTTTCCGTTTTCCTTCTCTAGCTTATCTTACAGATGAGAAAACTGAAGCAAAGAGGGTTAAGTGACTTGTCCAGGGTCACACAGCTAGTAAGTTAGTGTCTGAAGCCAGATTTGAACTCAGGAAGAGGAGTCTTCTTGGAAAACTGGAATTGGAAGGGGCTTGAGATAACATCTAGTCTGTTTCTCTCATTTTACAGCTAATAGGTTGAATGGCAGAATCAGATTCCAAAAATATCTTAATAGGTTAGAATCCAACAAGATGAAAATTAGTAGGGAAAAATGTAAAGTCCTGCATTTAAGTTAGTAAAAAAAATCAATATTAAAAGTACAGTATATCCAAGAATGTGCTAGAATCAGCTTGAACTTGCTCTCAAGAGTCTAGTGTTAAGGCAGCTGGGGTTAAGTGACTTGCCCAGGGTCACACAGCTAGTAAGTGTCAAGTGGTTTGGTCTGAGATCGGATTTGAACTCAGGTACTCCTGACTTTAGGGCCGATGCTCTTATCCACTGTGCCACCTAGCTGCCCCTAGTGTTAGAGATTTTCAAGGTGAGCATTTACATCTTAGAAACTGGCAAATGTTTCAAATCAGGAATCAATTTATTTATTGCTTTGTTGATTGTCTAAACTTAAGAAAGTAAAGGGTAAATGTTGATAATGCAGATTAAACTTAAAAGTTTGTGTGTACATTTTTTTTGGAGAGCCAGTTGTTAAACATTTACCGTATTTCTGATTATAGCAGTTCATATGAAGGACTCCTGGGTATTAGCTGATATCAAGTTCAATATAAGCCAACAGTAGGACTTTCTATTATAATTCTCCTTGTTCTACTTTCTTTGTTCTGTATCAATTCATGTTTTCCCATGTTTTTCTAAGTTTCTTGCATTTATTGGTGGAAGGACTAGTTATTTTAAGTGAAGCCTCCAAAGTCTTAGACTGTATTACTAGAATAATAGTGTTAGAATAAGGAAGGTAATAGTCTTACTCTAGTGGTAGGATCCCATTTGGGTGCCAGAACTGGGTGTTCATTCTGGGTACTACATCTGAAGAAGGGCATAGCTAAAATATTCAGAGGCCAATTGGTTGGATGGTGAAAAGTCTGGATGCCATGCCGCAGAGAGGAGATGGAGGAGCTAGAGATTGTCTGGAGAAGAGAAGAAGTAGGGAGTCATGATGCCTGTCTTCAGTATATGAAGGATTTTCAATGGAAAGAAGATTCTGGTTAGCTCTAGAGGACAAGACTGGTATGAATGAGTAAAGTCATAGCGAGGCAGATTTCAACTCAGTATTAGGAAGATCTTAATGACAAGAGCTGTCCAAAGTTAGCATGGATTGTCTCAGGAAGCAGCTAAGTTCTCCATCACTGGAAATGATGAATTTGGAGAAGCAGAATTTGGATGACCATCTGTTGCAGCCTTAAAGAAGGCATTTAAATAACAGAGGGTTGGACTAGATGACCTCTGGGGTCATCTTTGAGACTTTAAGAAACTAAGGCCTAGAGGATTCCAACTTGCTTAAGGCCATAGAGCTAATTAACCATGTATCCTGATTCCTAAGTCAGTGGTTTTTTTTTGCCCCTATTCCACATAGACCTTCCATGTGATTCCATTTTGGGAGGTTCTTTTTCCTCCCTGCAAATTAGGGTTACATACCCTGAAAATGTGGAACAGGCAAGGGTTTGGGCATTTGAGGTGAAGCTAACATCCAGATGCTGTGTCCTCCATCTATTTGGTGGTGATGCTGAAGACAATTCACATGTGGGCTGTCTCCCCTCTAGATCAGCCCAGCCGGGAAGTCATTCTGGAGGCCTTTGCTGACTTTGAGCACTTCACTTGTGTTAGGTTTGTTCCCCGGACAAACCAGAAGGACTTTGTTTCCATCATCCCTATGTCTGGGTAAGTACCTGTGTATTGGTGGGTAGGGATGGAAGATAGACAGCCCTTATAGCATCTGTTCTTTTTCCTCCTGGTTCCATTTCCCCTATACCTTTCCATGGAGCATCACAGGTATAGGATATCTGAGCAATAATCTAAAAGCTATGTCCATGGTCTTTCCTACCAACCCTGAAGGTTGTTTCCCAGATCTATCTGACAGCGTCAGTGCCAGGCATGTACTTGTTGGGGGGATAGCTTCAGAGGGGCAGCTGTGTGGCACAGCGGATAGAGTACCAGGCCTGGAATCAGGAAGACCTGAATTAAAACCTGACCTCAGACACTAGCAATGTGACACTGGATAAGTCACTTAATCCTGTTTGTCTCAGTTTCCTCATCTGTAAAATGAGCTGGAGAAGGAAATAACAAACCATCCTAATATCTTTGCCAAGAAAACCTTAATTGAGGTCACAAAGAATTGAACATGACTGAAATGACTGAACAACAACAAAGTTTCAGAAGGAGGTCTTGAGAATCATAGTAATAGGCAGTGGAATCCTCAACTTCAGGTTACTTGGAACCGCAGGAACCAGCTGGAAGGGACCGAATCCAACTTCCTGCTGAAAGATAAATTACCTATATATAATGTTCCTGGAAAAGGATCCATCCAGGTTGTAGAAGGTTCATTCCCTACCTGTGTGACCTTGGGTAAATTACTGAACTTTTCTGAAACTTGGTGTTGGGGCCAGAAACTGGGAAGGTATGAATTACATACTGTCTCGCTGTCTCCTTCGCGCTCTGGCTGTCTCTCTCCTTCGCACTCTCGCTGTCTCTCTCCTTCGTGCTCTCGCTGTCTCTCTCCTTCACGCTCTGTCTCTCTCCTTTGTGCTCTGTCTCCTTCTGTCTGTCTCTTTCCTTCTGTCTCTTCTCCCCTCTTGTCTCTCTCTGTCTTTCTCTCCACCAGCTAGGACTGTTATGAAGCTAGGACTGTTAAAAGACCTGGGGCAGTGGAGGCTCTGAGTGGTCCCTTGTAGCAAATGATGCCACATAGCAACCCCGACCTTGGTCATTGGCTATGTGTGGGACCCTGTTCAATGGCTTCTCTTTGAAAGAACTGCAGAGGGCAAAAAGGGTAGTGGTTCCCTGGCCTTCAGCAGCCCAGGCTTTGAAGAGGATGATGACCTTTGAACTTTGTAGGCAGCAGCAAGGTGATGGGCAAGGCAGTGGTGCCCTGGCCTGTGGCACAGTAGATCTGCTAGTGGTGACAATGTCCCACCAAGATAATGGGAAAATAGTAGTGCCCCGGCCTACCAGTAGTTCTGAGACTACGACTTTGTGAGTGTTGCAAACAGCAGCTTTGATGGCACCTGTAGTGAGGCAGAGAAGAGGACAGCAGGAGCCTAATTTGCAGACATTGGCAGCTTGGGACAGTAGTGTGGGCCCAGGACAGCTGTGGGAAGGCCCCAGAAATGGCTCCTGGCACAGCAGTGGGGCAGAGTGCATGCCAGCCTGAAGCTTAGCCAGCCCAGTGGCCGGTAAATGGATTAGATCCACGTGGACCTTTTCTTGCCTTTTGGATAGTGACCCCTCAGCATTATTGCAAGGATGAAGCATGGGTTGTTTTTGTAAAGCTGACTTTTGTGACCATAGTAACCTATGATGTTAGTGGTTGGGGGGAGCAGTGCTTCGGGCCAGGAAGTGAGGAGGTATGAATTAACCCTCTAAACTCCCATAACAAAGACTGGCATTGTTGTGAGCTAGGAATCTGTGGAGCAGAGCTGGAGCAGTTGGGGCTACTTTTTCCCCCAAGTGGATTAATCCGGGACACAGCTGTGGGTCCTTTGGACAAGAAGAATAAAACAATAGCTTTTGAGGCTGGTCAGGGAGCTCCTAAGAGACCTCCACCCCTCCGGGGATTTCCTTGTTCAAATCTTTCCAACCTTGTCATCGCCTTTTATTTATTTTTATCTTCGGGTCTATTTTTAGACTGCCTTGAACATTGCTTATACCAGAGGGTATTGGCATGATTTTAGCAGAAGGATTTGTTCATTCAGACCCTCTGGCTCTGAGTGGCCCATTGTACCAGATGCAAGATAGTGGCCTTGACAACCGATTTCCTCTCTTTAGAGTGAGGGCCTGGGACCGTATTATAGATGAAGGGAGTTTAGACATCAGTTAGTTCAGTCTCCTCATTTGACAGATGAGAAAACTGAAGCCTAGAGAAGTGAAATTATTTGTCCAAGTTCACACAGGTCAATAGGCATCAGAAGTAGGATTTGAACCTGGGTCCTATGGCTTCAGAACCAATGCTCTTTCTTTTGTACCAAACTGCCTTCTTTTAGACTGGAGGTTCTTAACCTGTAATCCATAAACTTGCTTTAAAAATATTTTTTGCATCACTATTTCCATATAATTGGTTTCCTTTGTCATCATATGTATTTTATTTTATGCATTTAAAAACATCCTTAGGGCAGCTAGGTGGCAGAATGGATAGAGACTGGCCCTAGAGTCAAGAGGACCTGAATTCAAATTTGGCCTTAGATACTTACTAGCTATATGACCTCGGGCAAGTCATTTAACCCTGATTGCCTCAAAAAAACCCCCATTCTTCTGAAAAGGGGTCTTGGGGCCTTATGAGACTCAAGAGGTCCATGACAGAAAATGGCTAAGAACCCCTGCCTTTAGAGATTGCTAAGGTTTCTTCCAGCCCTGAATCTTAATGGTCCTACCTCATGCCATTCCTTGCAGCCCACCCAACCCTGGTCCCTCTTTTGGACAACTCTAAGGAAGACGTTCTTTGTGGTGTGCCTCTCTCACTTTTGGCAAGTTTCCCCTCCTCTGCCTGGGATTAAGTGAGTCTTTGGTACTCAGACAGCTAGAGGGGTGCCCCCTCTGCTTCTTCCCATAATTCTCTAGGTGCTTCTCCAGTGTGGGACACAGTGGCGGGATGCAGGTGGCCTCACTGGCCTCCTTCTGTCTCCAGAAGGGCAAAGGCATCGTGCTTCATGAGTTCATGCATGTGCTGGGATTCTGGCACGAGCATTCCCGGGCTGATCGGGACCGTTACATCCACATTTCCTGGAAAGAGATCCGGCCAGGTGAGTCCCACTGCCAGCTGCCAGGGGCCACTGCACATGTCTATTTGCCAGCTGGTGATAAAAAGCTTACACTTCAGTTTGGGGAGGAGCAGCTAATGCAAGGCGGGGCAACAGTGGTGTATACCCTGGAAACTCTGCTTGGGGACCTGGAATCAGGGAGTTTGCCTGGCTTGCTTTTGTGGGGTTTCAGGTGGTGAAACCTTCTGCTCCTTTCCTATCACACAGCTGAGGAGGTGTAACTGATGCCCCTGGCTTAGCCCCCTGTGGGCTACTCTGGTCAGGATGACCCTTCCTCTTCTCTCTGGCTAACATCTAAGCCAGGATCATGTTTAATTGGGGTGTGTGTGTGTGTGTGTGTGTGTGTGTGTGTGTGTGTGTGTGTGTGTGTCTGTCTGTCTGTCTGTCTGTCTTCCTGCGGAGTTTTTAAAGCAGAGGAAGTATCTTATCAGCACTAAATATTTATATTTTCTTATGTGCAATCCTAAGCATTCTGGGGGATATAAAACACTAACAATTCAAATAAATAATTCAACAAATGTTTAAATGCCTACTATAGGTAAGGCACTGTGCTGGACATCAGGGTACAAAGACAAAAGTGAAATTGTCCCTGCCCTCAAGAAGCTTATGTTCAACTTGGGGTGACACAGACAAGCTCTTACAATGGTATTCGGATAAGGAATAGGCTCAGAGACTTAGCCAAGATTACCCAGGTACTGTAAATAAGAATACAGAATGAGATGGGTAATTACAAAGTAATTTTAAGAGGAAAAGAACAGTCACAAAGTGGAGAGGGGATCAGCAGAGTCCTTCAAATGGGTAGCAGCACTGGAGAGGAGCTTTGAAGAAAGCTGTGGGTTCTAAGAGGTGGGAGGGAGGAGGAGGAACATTCCAGACACAGAAGACAGATTGTACAAATGCCCGACATGGAAGACCCTGGATGGGGATCAAAGAACTAGAGAGCAGTTTGAGAAGAATAGAGGGTGTATGAAGGGAAATCATATGAAATAAGACTGGGAAGGCAGGTGGGGGGCCACAGTATAAAGCATTTCAAATGCCAGACTAGGAATTTGTATTTATCCTGAAAATAAGGCGCTGCTGGGAATGCAAAAAAGAAATTCAAACCCGCAACCACTCTGTGCCCTTAAAGGGCTCCTCTGTAAGATATAGTCCCTGCTCCCTCTACTGGAGGTCTTGCTTTAGTTAAGATGGATTATGTATACACACATACACACACACACACACACACACACACACACACACACACACACACACACAGAGATGGACACACACAATACAAAGCAATGCCAAAGGAATGATAGCCAACAAGTGGTGTAGCATTTTAAAGTGGGAGAAGAAATCACTGCAGGGTGAGGTAGTCAGGGAAGGCTTTCTAGGAGAAGTAGGATTTAAGCTGGAGCCAGAAGAATTCATAGAGCATAGGAAGGAAGGAAAAGGAAGATATTTCCTCTGTGGAGAAGAGTATATGTAAGTATAGAGAGTAGAAAATGAGACCTGTCTGGTGGACAATGAGCAGACTAAATTGACTAAAAAGGAGAGTTCTCATAGGGGAATAGTAGGAGATTGAGACCATGCCAGGTCAAGGAGCTTGGATTTTATCTTCTAGACAATGGGTAACTATTGAAGGTTTGTGAGCAAGCGAGTGACAGGATGAAAATTTGTTTTCCATGCCTTAGAATACTGAATTTGGAATTGGAGGAACTGGGTATGAGTCTCAATTGTTCTGAAATTCAAAGTCACTTTCTCTCTTTGAGGTTTCTCCTGGTCATCTGTAAAATGGTGGGGTTAGACTAGAATCTAGTCACTAGATGATCTCAAAGGTCCTTTCCATCCATGATGCTACAAAAACAGTGAATTAACATGGCACAGCATATCGTGAGGGAGCCTGGCTTGTACTGGAGAGAGACTGGAGGAAGGGAGACCAACTAGGCAACTACTACAGTAGTAGCCTACTACTACTACTACTACTACTACTACTACTACTACTACTACTCCCATTACTAACACTGCTGCTGCTACTACCACCACTACTACTACCACCACCACCACTACTACTACTACTACTACCACCACCACCACCACTACTACTACTACCACCACCACCACAACTACTACTACCACCACCAGCACTACTACTACCACTACCACCACTACTACTACTACTACTGCTACTCCTACTATTACTAACACTATTACTACTACAACCACTACATACTAGTATAGTAGTACTACTAGTAGTACTACTTAGTTGTAATAGTAATAGACTACTCATATGAATGGATGAGGTTGCCGAATACTGGAATTCAGCCTAGCTGGGAAGTAGCTAGGGGAATCGATGACCTACCTTTGTTATTTCCTCACTCATGGTTCTTCTCCTACAGTATAAGATACTATCACCCAATTTCCTAGGCCTCCAGGAAGAAGTGGTACTTAAGACCTAGGTGCACTAGGCAGTGTTAAGCGTATAGGAAGGGGAGATTCTGGCCTATATCTGTCTCTTTTTTTGGCTTTCAGGCTTTGAAATCAACTTCATCAAATCCCAGAACAGCAACATGCTGGTGCCCTATGACTACACATCCGTGATGCACTATGGGAGGTGAGGATTCCTGGGTTTTAATAACTTGGTCCTTGGTTTTGATAATCTCGGGGAGTTTTTGTCCCTATCCAGACCTCTTCCCCTAGGAGGTATTGGGCTGTGAATTAGGAAACTCTATGGAACTAGCCTGATTGCTTTCCTTTCTTCCTGGCCACTGCTCTTAACAAACCTGTCTTGTCTCTCTGGCCTCATATACCCACATGGAACTCTCAGATATGCTTTTAGCAAGAACGGTAACACCACCATCATGCCACTGGCTGGACCGGACATCCCCATTGGTCAGCGGTGGAACCTAAGCACTTCAGACATTGTTCGGGTCAATAGGCTTTATGAATGCAGCCAGACTGTGAAGGGTCCAGGTAAGAAAGAGGAATGAAAGGGAGAGAGGTAACGTGAGTAGGTGGCTGGCAGCTAAGTTTACATGGAAGGGATGGGGAGCAACAGAATTACTCATCGCTCTGTGGGAAAGGGGAAAAGCCAGGAGAAATGCTTTGGATGATGAAGTCAAAATGAGAAGGGGTATCCTATAGAAGCCACCTAGACCAATCATCTTCCTCATATAGGGACCCTTCTCCAGCACCTTGGAAGGTAGTTTCTGCTTGATTATTTATGGTGATGAAGTGCTCCCTTCCTGAGAAGACAGCCCATTCTAGCTAATATTTTAAAAAGGTCTTTCAAATCCTATCTTCCTTCAACATCTACTCTCATGCCCAATGGATTTTCTTTTTTCTTTTTTTCCTTAAGAGGCAACTGGGGTTAAGTGATTTGCCCAGGGTCATACAACTAGTGAGTGTCTGAGGCTGCATGTCCAGCCTCAGACAGTTATACGTGTGTGTGTGTGTGTGTGTGTGTATGTGTGTATTTATATATGTGTGTGTATATATATATATATACAGTTATACATGTATAACTGTACATCTTAACATATCTATTGTCACCTCTCCTTAATATTAAAACTACTTCCTTTGTGTAAAACAAGACTTTCTTTTTGCTGTACTCATAGGATCATACCTATTAGGTCATGTTTCCATCAATGTGTTAAAATCCCAAATAAAGGGGCAGCTAGGTGGTGCAGTGGATAGAGCACCGGCTCTAGAGTCAGAAGGACCAGAGTTAAAATCCGGCCCTCAGACACTTGACATTTACTAGCTGTGTGACCCTAGGCTAGTCCCTTAACCCCATTGCCTAGCCAAAAAAAAAAAATCCTAAGTAAAGTTTCACATTAAAAAATGCATCTAGCATTGAGTAGGAGCTATCTGAGGCCATACATTATTGTTCTTTATTTACTTACTTGTTTTCCCCTAAGAATTAGGGGATACTTCACCCACTATAGTTCTTTCAGAACACTATATGTATGTTTCAGAGGTTCTAATTTTACAGCTTTATTTGGATATTTTTCTTCTGTCCCCCCTGAATTTCAGTTTAAAGTGCTTTTGATCAGTTTGGTGAGTTAACTGCCAAATACAATTTCCGCCATCCTTGTGAGAGGCCCTTCATCCTTTGCCAAGGGGCTTATCATTCTGGTATCGTATGCCATAATCCAGCAAATAAAATCCTACTTAATACCACTTACTTCACTTATCAGTTCATAGCCATTTGGGAGCAGGTAGAGAAATTAATTGCAGAAAGTTGGAGGGAATCCCCAAACTATCCTTGTTCCCCTTATTCTGTCAAAAGCCTGAATTTTGAGGAGCAGGACAAATCACAGGTTTGTGCCCTTCCTTTGTCTAGGGCTAGGCCAATCCACATTTGGATGTCAGTCTTTTTTTTTTTTTAATTTTATTAATTTATTTTGATTTATCAATAATCACTTCCATATGCTTTTGAGTTTAAAATTTTTCTCCCCCTTCCTCCCCACCACCCTACCCAAGACAGTGCACAATCTGATATAGGCTATACATTTACATTCCTATTAAACATATTTTCACATTAGTGAAGTTGTAAGTAAAAATTAAAACCAATAGGAGGAACCATCAGACAGAGGAAACAAAACTCAACAGAAGAGAAAAAAAAATTGATAGCGATTCAACTTCCATAGTTCTTTCTTTGGATGTGGATAGCATTTTCGAGGCCTCTGGAGATGTCTTAGATCCTTGTAATGCTGAGAAGGGTTCAGTTTATCAATATTAGTCATTGCACAACGTGGCTGTTATTGTGTACAAAGTCCTCTTGGTTCTGCTCACTTCACTCAGTATCAGGCCATATAAGTCTTTCCAGGTTTTTCTGAAAGTCAGCCTGTTCATCATTTCTTATAGCTCAATAGTATTCCATTACATTCATATACCACAACTTGCTTAGCCATTCCCCAATTGATCGGCATCCTCTCAGTCTCCCATACTTTGCCACCACAAACAGAGCTGCTATGAATATTTTTGTACACGTGGGTCCTTTTTCCATTTGTACGATCTCTTTGGGATATAGCCCTAGGAGTGCTATTGCTGGATCAAAGGGAATGCACATTTTTGTAGCCCTTTGGGCACAGTTCCAAATTGTTCTCCAAAATGGTTGGCTCATTTCACAACTCCACCAACAACGCATGAGTGTTCGGTTTTTCCACATCTTCTCCAACATTTGTCATTTTTCTGTTTTGTCATGTTGGCCAATCTGATAGGTGTGATGTGGTACTTCAGAGTTGTTTTGATTTGCATTTCTCTAATCAATAATGATTTAGAGCATTTTTTCATATGACTATAGATGTGGATGCCAGTCTTTTGAACAGCCTTAGGAACACTGATGAAATGGGAGAATGGGGCATGTGGTTGGGCAGATTTGGCCCCATACTTGGTCTGAGTATGAATTTCTTTCTGTCATAGAGCTAACTGTTCACTCTATTTGTTCCAGCCTAGACTTGTAGGGGGAGCTCCCTGACTAAGAGCTGAGTATTGGTAACCAGAGATCAATACCCACTGTTGTACAGTGAATGTCCTATCATGGCATGAGACTCGGGGACTATAGCTTTTCTCTATTAAAAAAAAATTCAGTGGTTCACCTTGATATTATAAGAAATCCTTTAATTTGATAGAGGAAAATGCTTTCCTTCCATGCACATGTCAAAATCACACAAAATTCCTTGAAAGAAGACAAGCACAGAGGAAACTTTGTTCAATGACTCTCTGGTAATTATATCAAAATGAGGTATTAAACAGGGAGACTTATGCTTGCCAAAGGTGTTTACCCCTCTCATGGAGGTTATGTTTTACAGAGTCCAAATGGAAGAAGGGATACTCTGTGGCAGCATTATTCAGACATTTCTGTTTGCAGATGACATTCTATTGATTGCATTAATACCTGGAGAATTTCAGAATCTCCTAAATAAGCTCCAGTCACCCAAGAGTTTGGAAGGAAAAATTATGTGAAATACTTCTCATAGTATGATATACAATTGAATGAGCGACTTTGAGAACTGCCCCCCCCATCTGTCCATGTAAAGAGGCCATTCTTAGCCTCATTTCTTACCTAGCCTTAATCACTGAATGAGTGTTGCCTTAGTGAAACTGAGACCTGTTAAAGACTTTAGCTTAAAAAAGGCCAAGATCCCCCATTGTATCTTGGGCCATCTCCAGTTATCCTGATCTGTATCTGATCACTGGACCCAGATGGCTCCGGAGGAAAAAGTGAGGCTAATAACTTTGCACAGCCCTCCCTCACTTAAATCCAATTCACCTGCATGTCATGTCATCACCTCCCGATGTCATGGTCCTTTTTGAGAATGAAGGACAAACAACCACCACCCACAATCTATCTATCATCTTGCCTATATACTTAGATAGACAATGAACTATTGCTGGAATTGAATAAGAAATTAGGTTGTATTGCATTGGGGAAATTACAACATACTTTTAACAATTCTGAGCTTCCCTTTGGAAAAATGAGATATCTATTTAACTTCTGTTTTTTTTTTCTTTAGTGATACTATAGGGCTGCAAATCATAGAATACCATGACTTCTGCGAGTCATAGGGTAATGGAGAGTATGGTGTAGGTGAACAAAATGCAGTATGTTTCCAGTGAAGAATCACTTAGGGGAAACGGTGTAATGGAGAGGTGTCAAGCTCATGGCTTGTGGATAGCACATGGATGTTAAAACTCTCTCTAGAACCAACATAAAACATAACTGGGAAATTTTTTAACAAAATAAATAACAGTATAACACAACATAGATCATGTTAACTTGTGATTTTCTAAGTCAATATGGCCACAGGGATCTGTTTCTATTTGAGTCTCACACTCCTGACATAAAGGGTATCAAGGGAGCGCATGAGACCAGTTCCACTCTGGAGGCATAACAGCCTTGAAAAGAGGGGCCCGGCTAGAACAAAAGGTTTATTGGGAATGATGGAGTACCTCAATACTCTAGGTCATGTCAGAGCTGTACCTCGCGATTGTGGTACCTGTGGCAAACAACAGGAAATAGGATGGCAAATCAACTTTGTAATCTGTGGGTGGGGTGAACTAAGAGGTCTAAGAAACTTATCCAGGGTCACATCTAGAGTACATGTAAAGAGGCAAGATTGGAATCTGGATTTTCATGACTTTGTGGGCAGTTCTCGATCATCTGCTTATGCTGCCTGTATGAAAAAAGAACTGAGAAATAATTGAAACACATCCAGCTGATCTAGAGGGAAGAAATAGTTGACGTAGTGGTTCCTTGCTGCTGAAAATGAGTGAATGTGTAAAATTTTGACTCCCCAGGGGGAAGTCACTCTAGTTAGAGCTGTTGCTTGGGTCCTGCTTGACTCCCACCCTCACACTATCATTTTCCTGCAAAGTCTCTTACGTGTGCCTTTCTCCTTGTTCTGTTTCAGAGCTCCACAGTGAGAATAATGGGGACCACCAAAAATCGGGGGTCATGGACTTCATCGACCGAGATGAAAAGAAGCTACATCCTATGGAGGCCCCTTTGGAGGCCTCCCTGAAAACTCTGAGCCAGCCTGAGGTAGGAGAGGGGGTGTCTCCTGGCTGGCCTGACTCTGCCCACAGTGTGCATTCTTGGGGGAAAGAGGTGGCAAAAAATACCCGGCCCACCTGGCTTATCTCAGCATCTTGTTCTGGAGCCTCCCAGCCACCAGAATTAGTTTCCCCCTCTGAAGCAGTCCCTCGGGAGTCTATGAAGATTACACCCATTAGTGTAAACAACACAGAAGCCACTCTGCTTCTGAGTGAACCAGTACCAAGCCCTCCTGTCTCTTTCCTTAAAGTGCTTTCCAGAGGGACAGTGGCTAGTTTTCCAGAATCCAAGCTTCTTCCCGAGACCTACAACAGTATTTTAGTAGAAATGAGAGAGAGAGGTGGATTGCCAAGCACTCTGCATCCTGGCAGGGGAGCCTGGCCTGAGGGCACAGTTCCCCAGCCTGCTGGGAATGCCTCTTTCTCCCTTCAGTTACAGACCTCCAGCCCAGATTGGAGAGTTAGATCTGAGAGCACTGTAGCAGATATTCAGACCTCCCACCCTAGACTTGGCAGCATCCCAGGACAACTTCATAGATGCCGACTGTGTGGCCAGAAGGAAGTGGACTCGGCTCCCACTGCTGGAGGGGGGGTCCTGCCAAGAGGAGGGAAGGGGTTGCTCTGGCGCCTTCTGAAGGCCCTGACCATGGCATCAGCCTCCAGGAACTTGCCAGCCATCAGAGGGGTTGGAGCACGGGGTCCAGGGACTAGAGATCAACTCTTTTCCATAGAACTGAGAGGAGACACTGCTTTATCTAAGCCCCTAGGCATGGTGTTCCCTGCCCATGGGACACACAACCCACAGGCCCCTGAAGAGCTAGCCCAGACGCTCCTGGAGGGAAGACGAAGAGAAGCAGCTTCCAGGGAGGGAGAAAAACTTCTAAAATGGCTAACCTTTGGAGATGCAACCAGTATCCCAGATGTACCAGCCAGGCCTAAGCCCTCCCCAAGCACAGGCCAGGTCAGTACCTGGCACACCTGGGGACCCAGGCACAGGAACCAGCTGAGCCCAGAGAAGGGTATTCTAGAAACGTCCAGAAGGAACAATTCCTCCAGAGGTCATGTGGGAATGCATCTCCCTGGGGCATCTAGCAGCCATGACCTAGGCTGGGCATCAAGCATGTCTCCATCTCCAAGAGGAGGAATTCCTGCTCTGAGGAGGGTAAACAGAGATTTCACGGTCCCCTGGGCAGTCACAGGAAACCCAGTTACTCTAAGCCTGGACATTGTCAGCAGTGGCATCAGGAAGGAATTTGGAAGTGCCCCTTATACTGGTCCACTAGTGGAGAAAGCACCATTCATCTCCCCAGAGGGGAAGCTACATTCTCTAGGGATCCAGGTTGCCCAAGGTGAGGTAGGGCTTCCAAACACCCTACCAACAACCAACAGTCATACTCCTTCCTCTAGCCACATGGCACCTGCCTTGTTCTCGAAGCTTCCAACTAATAAGATTCTAGCTCAGGTAAAGTCACCTCTGCTGGCTGCCTTCACACAGACCTCTCACCTGAGCCATCTGATGGAAAGTGTGACAAGTAACCACTTTATTTTCCCTGTTCCTCCAAGAAAAACCTACCATCTGAGGATGGAGACTCCAGATAAAGCTTTTCAAAGGTCTGGAGGAGCTCCCTCTGAGGTCGGGACCACCACAGTTGATGGAAAGGAAGTGAGACAGGCTGGCTCCCCTTCCACTGTGGGGTCAGCATTTCCTGAAGGGGTGGTGACCAGCCCTGCTGACTCTGTAAATTCAATCCTGTCCCTGGAGGATTCTGGGAACCAAAAGACGCATTCTTTTGGAAGAATAGAACAGGGGGGCCTGGGAGTAGCTGGAAAGAACTGGATTCCTTCCTTTGCCCCTCTCAGGAGATGTCCCTCTGGAGGGATCCAGCTTTTCATAGGGGGATCGATGATCCCCCTGCTTCCTGTGGAGCCTGAGAGAATCCTAAGGGCATATAAATCCAAGGGAGCGTTGACTCTCCTGGCTCAGGGAGAATCCTTTCTTTCCTTTGTCTCCAACTGCAGCAATGTCACACTGGGGCATCCTGTGCCTCCACCCCAATCTCTAGAGGACCCTCAGAGCCAAACTTTACAGAAGGTTCCTGATCCCAAGTCTGTTGCATCAGGAATTGTGCTTTTAAAAAGCCCATCAGGCCTCTTGAGCCTGGTGCCCCTTTGGGAGTGCAAGGGCCTAAGCAGAGTCAGAGAATCGGCCTATCTTCTAGAACCTGAGTCTAGGGAGAAGGAATATCCTTCTGCTTTTGGTGAGAATCCCTCTTCAGCTGTACACGCCACGGCCCTGCCCCCACAGGCCCTCAAGACTCAAACCCCTTTCCTGGATGGACTGCAAGAGGACAAAGGGAGGGGCCAGCTTGGAATGACAGCTGTTCCTTCGATCCAGACAAAGGTAACAATGGCTTACTCAATGAGGGATGAAATAGCACAGACCCTGGAGGAGGAACGTGGAACCTCAAAGAAACTGGGAGGCAGAGACTTCAACTTCCCTTCCTTCAGATCTGGTTTTGACCGTGATGCTCTGCCCTCGAGAAATCCTCCCGTGGGGCCTGATGCCTTCCGGGGGATGTCTGATGCCAAGGCCCCGCCAGCTCTGGGAACTCAAACTATTAACTGGGCCAGAGGGACACTTTCCCCCTTGGATACCTCAGAAATGGGGCCTGAGCCAGCAGAGTGGCTGCAAGAAGGGGGAGCTGCTTGGACAACAGCTCTCCAAGGGGAGCCCAGGGTGAATGAGGGGCTCCCAGAGGGCCGACTTAAAATTCAAGCTGGCCCCACATTGCTGTTTCTAGGGCCCTTGCTTTTCCTGACTGGGCCTGGGATGGAGCTCCAGGTTACTGACATCCCCTCTCTGTGGGAACCTCACAATGAAAAGGGTAGAGAAGAAGCCAAGACACCTTCCCTGAGCCCTCCAAGGGCTGGACATGGTAATGTGCCCTTGACAGACCACTTCAGCTCCAGGGGGCCATTGAGTGAGAATCCGCTCCACAGTATGGCTTGGGTGGGGATGCAGGGGTCCCAAAGTAGACCTACTGACGATGAAGAACATAGCAGCCAGCTCCTCTCACATGGGAGTCTCCTATCTGTAGGGAAGGAAGCTATCTCCAAGTCCCTTACCACTCATAGAGCAGAGAGAATGGCTGAGGAAGTCAGAAACATGGTAGGGAAAAGTAGGAACCTGGCTGTGTCCTCTGCTGTTAATTCTGGAAGAACTAAGTCTGCCTCAAGCCAGTTACATTTTGTCAACCTGTCTTCTCCTCTGGAAAGGGGGGGCCAAACCCTAAAGCCCACAAAGACTAGGCCAAAAGTCCATAGCTCCCAGGGAGGGAAAGGGGGACTGGTTTCTTTTCCCCTAGTGGGTGTCACTTCACCTTTGGTTAAAACTTCTGATCTCAGCATGAGGCCTTCCCCTTCTCCTTCCCTCTTTCCACCTCTTCCTCAGCACCTAGCGTTCACTAGGAGTGCTAAATTGTCCACAGCTGCTTCACTCATAAGGCAAGCAACCACCCGAGGGAAACTACAGAAATACCAACAGAGCCTTCCCCTCCAGAAAAGTGGCTTTTTGCAGGGTCCAGGAAAGGCTAGCGTTGGTAATCCTGATTCCAAGACCCCTCAGTGGTTCCAGTCCTGTGACCATACAGAGCAGGGAAGGGACTGTGCCCAGAACCAAGAAGGCCCTGCTCCTGGGGAGTTGTCAGGAAACATGACCTCTCAAGGTCTGGAGCTGGGCTCCTTGCCCCATCTTGGCTGGTTGGAGCCTGTCTCTTTAGTGAGACTGAAAGCCCCAAGACAAAGCTCTGAGCTGGAGGCTACATCTGCGCCTTCTTGGCTCTGCCTTGGTGGAAGCTGCTGGGAGGTCATTTTGCAAGCGCTAGACTCTTCCCAAGACCCTGAGGCCACTGGTGTGAAGAGTCTACTGGCCAGGGTCCTTTCCTCTAGGCCAAAGCCTCTCCAGATGGAGGCCGCAGGCACTGCCCCCACCAAAGATGTACAGATGCCACAGGTGGTACTTGGGTCACTGCAGCTGCCACCCCATGCAGAATCCTCTCATCCAGACTGGACCACACAGTCTCCGATCACAGGGACCCATTCTATGGACAATCTCGCCTTGAAAACTGCCCTTCCTGGGAACAGGACAGACCCTTGGTCCTTTGACTGGTTCTGTGACTTTGAGACAGACTTCTGTGGGTGGCAGCAGAATGGTACCGGAGCTGGCTGGGTGCTCACTCAAGGCCAGAAGAGTTATCCCTGGAGTGGCAGCTTCCCCTTGAAGAGCTCCTGTCATTTCCCTGGAGGTGAGTAGACTCGAGGAATGTGCTGAGGCTGTTACCTACTTGTATGAGGGATCATAGATCCTTAGCCTGAGAATGAGAGAGCAGGGCCTGAAGGAAACCAGACAGCGAGCGTTAAAGATGCTTAAATTTGTCCAGCTCAGGTTTTCCCCTTAGCGCATGTCTTGTAAGTGGATACCCGTGTTTAGTGGGAAGGGTGAAATTCTGAGTGCAGGCACAGAAATGTCTGTTAGTACAAGAAGCATTGGGTTCAGAAGACCTGGTCAAAACCCTAACTCCGAAACTAGGTAATACGCTGGGTAAGTCACAACTCGCCCTCAGTTTACTTATATATATAAAATGGGGATAATATTCAGTCTTTTTCACAGGGTTGTTAAGATCAAATGAGTTAACATAGATATAAAAAGTGCTTTGTAAACCTTAAAGCACTATATAAATGTTAAATTTCCTTTCCCTGTTGAGGGGAGGAGGTGGATATGGCAAGGTCAATAAAGACTGCTGTGAGCATCTATAATCTTTTGGAACATTCCCTTCAAACGAGACCCCTAACTTCTTGCCATTCAATACTGTTTGTTAAACCCACAAAGTACAAATGCCTGTGTTTGGTGCCAGCAGTGATACCAAGAAAATGATATTTGAATCTAACCAAAACCCTGGGTGCCTTTTTCTTTTCCTTCTTACATGTAGAAGGCAATTAGGCTCTGGATAAAGTAACCCATTTTGCAGATAAGGAAAATGAAGGTTCAGGAAAAGGTAATGTGCCTTGTTCAAGCTGACATAGCCAGTCATCATTTGAATCCAGGTGTCTGGGCTCATGATTCAGTGATTTAAAAAAAAAATTCACTCGTCCATGTCTGTTTCTTTACTTTTAAAATGAGAATAAGAACAGAGGATTTCCAAAATCATCTTTAATGATGGGATTTTGTTGTGCCTGCCCAATGGCCAGTAAAAATCCTAAAATGTTTAGTGCTGGAGATTCTAGGTCTTTTATAGGTGGATTTCTCTATTTTTTTCCTTGTCTTCTTCCATACCCCAGGAAACCATCTGCTTCTGCAGAACCAGGCTTCTCCACAAACAGTCCCCAGAGCTGTTCTGATTAGCCCAATCTTGCATGGAGCCAGATGGGTTCGATTTTGGTATGGTCCCCTGCAGCCGAGCATGGGTAGGTGTCAAATGTAGCTGGGGGTGAGGGGACTTGGTTGCAAGGTTCTGAGAACCCACTTGGCTAGGCCCTTCTAAGGGTACTTCTGGATTGCATTCACCCATCTCTCTGAATTGGGATGCAGCAGGATGGGAGCATTTAGTCTAGATCTGCTTGATTGAGTGTGCTGGCTGCTACCTGAACCTATGTGAAGATTACCATCTCTCCAGTCCTTTGAGATGGATTAACTATTACCTCGATTCTGTTTGGAATGTAGCAGCCAGGCAAAAGCTGAGACTCTTCCCACCCTCCTCCTGGGGTAAAGAGTATCAAGGCCCCCATTTCATCTGGCTCTATGCCTCCATTTCAGAGGGATTCCAGACCTAGGACACGTATGCTCACTGTACTCTGCTTTGGGACCATTCTCTCTGGGAATAATGTCTAGAAATGAGATGTAACATATGTAAAGTACTGTGCAAACCTTAAAGTGCTACTAAATGATAACTATTATTAGTGGTAAAAGATTTTGTGTACCTTCAAGTGTGGTATAAATGCCATCTATTAATAATAGACCCTATACTCTATGTATTTTGTATATTTATGCCTGGCATACAATCTGTATATATGTGTCTGTCACATATATTCACAATACAACACACATGTATGTATGTATGTATGTCTCTTTGTCCATTCTAGTCTATGAAATAAGGGGGCAGGGAGTAGTGCCCATGTTACATAAGACAGCAAGAGACAGACGTATATGTACATTAATATTTTATGTGTATAATTCATATAACACAGATATAATGTGCATATATTTATATTTGTACACAAATATATACATGCAGTATATACTTAATAAATGTATAGTATGCATAAAAATGTGTATATATACTCTATAAACATAAGATTCTATAAATACATACTCTATACATACTCCACAGATAACATATACTCTATAACACATGTATGTATGTAGATATTCTATAGCTTCTTGCTATCTTATGTATTGTAGGCATATATGTATATCCCCTCCTTCTCACATATTTCATGAAGTAGAATGGACAGAGACAGATACAGAGTCACTAGTGTCCAAGTTTATACAGTGAATGGAACCATTCCAAACTTGGCTTCTCCTAAGGTGTGTGATCTCTAAGAGTCCTTGATTCTGATCTCCTTCCAAGGAGGTGGGTTTCTTTGACAGGAACCATTAGTGTCTATGTCTACTCTCGGGCTCAATTTGGTTGGCGTCTAATCTGGTCCAGTATGGGGCACCAGAGCTCATCCTGGAGCTGGGTGGAAATGAAGCTACGGGCACCACAGAAGATACAAGTAAGTATTTCACTCTCTATTATGGGTGGGAAGCTGTGGACATGGGTTCTGAAGTTTAGGGAACTTTGGGATACTAGAAAATAGTTTACCATTTTCTTGGAGGTTGGAAGTAAGTGTTTTGGGCCATTTAGGAATAACTGAATCAGAAAGAAGTAGATAATTAAGCATGTTGTCTAAAGGAATATCCCCTGGGAGGAAAAAACCAAGAAGGTGTGTGTCATGAACTCTTGAATTTATTATCTATTCTTTTTAGCCTACTTTGATTTTAGAGTTTAGTGGTAAAGTACAGAGAGAATGTAGATCCCTTTAACCACAAGGTATCTCAAGGGTACTTACGATTCTCTAAAAATGTTTGGAACCATTTAGGAGAAGAGACTAAAGAGGTGGTAAAAGAAGAAGGGCTTTAAAATGTAGACCAACATAGTTGATTCTGTCCATTTTTTAATGACCTTGAATATCTGTCTTTCTACAGGTGATGGTGGAAGGAGTTCAAGGCCCAGAAGATGGTGCTCATATGAGCATCGATAACCTTTCTGTCTCTAGCCACCAATGGCCAAAGGGAGAAACCAAGCTTTCTTGCCATTCTTTCAAGGAAACTCTAAATAAAGTTTGAATTAAGAAATACGTTCTGAGCTGTCATGTTTGAATTTCAACATAAAGGCAGGGGTTCTGGGCACTTCAAATGTTAATTGCCCATCAGTTCTATATACTTATTAAATACCTACTGCATGCACAAAGCACTGTGCTAGATGTTGGGAATATGAAAACAATGTAGCCGCTGCCCCTCAAGGAACTTACATTTTATGTTTTTTTTTTAAAGTAAATCAAGATAATTTGAGAAGGGTAAGGTGGAGTTAGGATAGATTGGGGTAGGGGAGATGGTAAATTAGAGGTGAGGTGATAAAACCCTGAACAACGGTGGGGGCAGTGAGAGGCAGATTAGAAGAAATTGTAGAGGTAGAATCCATAGACTTTGACACTTAATTTGATGAATGAGGGAGAGGAAATTTATGGATGGTCCTGATGTGATTGGGAAGATGGTGGTAATACCCTTCATAGGAGCAGATGTTTGGTGGGTCCCCAGACTGTCTTGCCTCCACTACAGGTAGTGACAGCAAGGTATCCTATTACCTCATCCTTCTACTATTACCTTTAACAGTTCAAGTGGACATAGTTGTTAGTGCCTTATATTAACTGAACAGACTTTGTGATACCTTCAGCTTCAACTGTAGGGAAAATCTTGAGCTTTGCCCTCCAGGGCAGTAACGTCTCATTACTTATTAAAAGCGAACAATTCATTCCTCCATGCCCACCTCATGGAGGTAGTTACAAGCAAAATGTTTCATAAACTAGGCTAGAACCTGTGATTTCATTGGTATAGGAAACTACCAGGTGGGGAAAATCTCTCTCAATTTCAGGTCATCAACATCTCTGCAATTTACACTTGCCGACAGCAGTGAGGGGCAGCTAGGTAGTGAGCAGTGGATAGAGTGCCCAGGAAGACTTATCTTCATGAGTTCAAATCCAGGCTCAGACACTTACTAGCTGTGTTACCATGGGCAAGTCACTTAACCCTGTCTGCCTTAGTTCCTCATCCATAAAATGAGCTGGAGAAGGAAATGGCAAACTGCTCCAGTGTCTTGCCAAGAAAACCCCAAATGGGGTCACGAGGAGTCGAACGTGACTGAACAACAGTGTGAAGTTAAGTGTCTTGTCCTGGGGCACACAGCCAGTATGTGGTAGAAGTGGAATTTGAACTAAGGTCTTTCTGCCTTTGGGGCCAGCTCTTTATCTCCTCATTTTTTTTGTTTTGTTTTGTTTTTTGGTTAGGCAATGGGGTTAAGTGACTTGCCCAGGGTCACACAGCTTGCTTCTCATTTTGTAAACTTGAAAGCCTTATAGAAATGTAAGTTAGGAACTATTCCTTCATAGGAATTTCTAGTTTGGACATTAGTGTTGCAGCCTAGAAGGGGATCTAGAGGAAATCTGGTTCTTGGCCAGGTCCTGCTGTGAAGTGTTCTTTCTTCTTTGTGGATTAATGCCTATTTCTACAAGGAGTGTCAGGTTCTTGTCTCAGGCAGACATTGCTGGGCTTCTGGAAGTAGCGTGAAGCACTGACTAGGCTGGTCCAGACTCAAGGATTAAGATGATGGTACCTCAACAGCTTCAGCATCAGCTCTTGCAAGACTAGTAACAGCAGTTTTGGGGCCTGGGGCAAGCAACACAGAAGGGGCTCCTCAAATCAACTTAAGACAAATCGAGTCATTGCTGGGGGTGGGAGAGATCCCAGGTGTGCATGTGCATGTGTGAGCAAGGAGATTGACTGGGAAACCTTGAGGCTTTTCATGGTGGTGGGTGAGGGTGGAAAGGAAGAAAGCCATCTGCTGGCTTCTTATTTCAACAAATTATCTTGCTAACTAGGTGCTAAGCTGAATTGTTTCTAGTTGCTAGAGCTGGCTCTAGGGCAAAGCACAGTCTGCCACCTTTCCCCAAAGCCACAGTTACAGCTTTGAGTACCAGGATTTGTACCTAATTATCAGTGATCTGAGGCTCAGACTGAGCTGTGGAAGGGACAGATAGTGTCAGGCTGAATATAGTGGTGAACTGGGGGTAGGCTGAGGGATAGACGGAATGGGGAAGGTGTGTGTGTGTGTGTGTGCGCATATGTGTCGGGGCTGGAGATATCGAGTTAAAGACCTTCTTCTAACTCTTCCCCTCCAGTCCATTAGTCTCTAGCACTGAGACTAAGACTCCCAGAGCTGTTTAAAGTGTTTTGCAGAGATTGCAGGAGACTACAGCTGCAGGGTGGTATGGAGGAGGAGGAGGAGTTACTGAGTGAGAGTGATGTGGACCCTGCTTCTAGGAAGTGGGCAGGACAAAGAAAGAATCCACCCTATTAATTTTTCTCCACATCACCTTCCATTTGCAGACACTATTGTCCATGGGTCAGAGGGACACAGGATGACAGGTCAGCCTTCTCTTCACCTATCCTTACTATGAATTATTAGGGCTGTTTCTATGGGACCAGATCAGCACATGTCTTATCTCATTTGTCCTCAGGCTGGGAACAGAGAGAGTATGTCTCAGACTCCTCAGGAAGAGGGCAGGAGGGCCTGAACAAGAAGGGAAACTGAGGCATGAGCTGGGGAAGAGAGGAAGAAAGATCACCCAGGGAGAATAAATGAGCTGCTTTTTCTTTGCATCTCCCATCTGAGGGAGAGAGAAAAAAAACTTGCTGCTGCGACTTCGCTGCAGATTCAAAACCTGGGCATCTCTCCTGTTGCTTTTCTGGGCTGGGGGAGCATTTAGGTGCCCAAGAATAAATGAAATCTTGCCCCTTTGCCTTTGCTAGGGGTGTTTGGAGGGAGCCCTAGCCTCGGCGGGGGTCCAGGCGCTCCGAAGGCAGCAGGGGGCGCTCTCTAACCGGCAATCAGAGGGGGTCTTGGGCTCAGCCTGCGCTCCACGAGGAGGTGCCCGGCCTAGGCGGGGTGGGCAGTAGTGGTCTCCGTGCCAAAAGTCGGGGTGGTTTTTGGGGACTGTGTGCCCACCAAATCTCCTTCTGGATCCCTAGAGCTGAGGGTACTGGTTGCCTCTCCGCCCCCCTTCCCCAGGCCCCCAAGCTTGGGGAGGCTAGATGGGTTCCGCCTGCAAGCGCAAGCCACCCCTTCGTCCCACCACACCCCACGCTTCAAACGGCTCCCCCCGCTCCCCACGCCCCTTGCACGGGGCCGCCCAGTCCGCATAGATGGCCCAGCCCTGGCTCCTCGCTTCCAGCCCCTCTCCCAAATCCAGCCAACCCCACACATCCTCCCGCCCTACCTCAACTGACTGACCTCTGCAGCCACACGTCCTGAGCCCCCTCTTATGTAATACTTGACATCCAGCACTCTTGACATCCCCACTCCCCTCGAACAGTCTTCCCCGCATCTCTCCCCTTCCTCGAGCCCCACAGCTGCAGGCAAGCTCGCCACACCCAGCCCCCTCCCTCTAGGACCCCTCGGCAGTGGCACTCCCCAAAGGTGAGGGGAAGAGGGCAGGAGGCAGCGGAGCTCCCCAAAAGGAGGCTGCGCTGCTGCGGGCTTCCCGGCTGTCCGCCCTTTGGCCGTGCTCACCTTCTTTCCACCTCTTCCATCCCTGCTTCCCTCCCTCTTCTTCATCCCTCCCTCCTCTCTTCCTGCCCCCATCCTTCCCACCCCTCCTTCCTCCCCTCCCCTCCACGTCTCCTCCCTACTCGGTCTCCTCCCTTCCACTCCCCCTGCCCGGGGCTGCCTGTGCCTGCTCGGCTGCCTGCCTGCCAAGCCTGCTTTGCTCGCCTGACATCACGGTTCCAGCTCCGCTCAGGGTTGGAAAGGAGAGAGCCTTCACCTCTCACAGCGCTTTTGTGAAGGAGCAGGAGATGCTCGGAGCTTCCCCCTCACTGCCCTCCTACCCCTAGCCCACCAAATCTTGGCTTGGGACAGTCACACGTCCGGAGGTCTCAACTTTCTTCAGGAGTAGAGCGCACCGCTGGGGCACCCCAAAAGGGAAGGGACAGAAGCCCCCAGGAACTTCACAAACTTCTTTGGGGCAGACCAGAGGGAAACCAGCAGCCTAAGCCCAGAGGAGGATTTAGAGCCGCAGCTACTGAACAAAACTGTGCCCTCATTCCTCTCCACCCCACCTCCGACCTCTACCCAGTCATGGGGTCTGGATGCTGCGCTTCGTCCCAGGACAGAATGGGCTGGTCCACCAGGTCTCTGGCTTAGCCCCTGGGGTGCTTACCCCAGGGACTGCCCCATTCTCCAGCCCCCCCTCCCCCGCTGCTGGATGTCCTGCTTTTAACTCCAGATTGTCCCTCAGAAAGGCTGCAGGGCTGGCACTCATAGCCTTTCTCTGGCAATTCCCTTTGGACTATTCCAGTCCTCTGCTATGGATAGCCCAGAGCCCTACTCTGTGCAGGCCACGGCAGCCATTGCAGCCGTCATCACCTTTCTCATCCTTTTCACCATCTTTGGCAATGCACTAGTCATCCTGGCCGTGTTGACTAGCCGTTCCCTTCGAGCCCCACAGAACTTGTTCCTGGTTTCCCTGGCTGCAGCTGACATCTTGGTGGCCACCCTCATCATACCCTTCTCACTGGCCAATGAACTGCTGGGATACTGGTACTTCCGACACACCTGGTGTGAGGTCTACCTGGCCTTGGATGTCCTTTTCTGCACTTCCTCCATTGTGCACCTTTGTGCCATCAGTCTGGACCGCTACTGGTCAGTGAGCAGAGCCCTGGAGTACAACTCCAAGAGGACGCCCCGGAGGATTAAGGGCATCATTCTCACTGTTTGGCTTATTGCTGCCTTCATCTCACTGCCCCCACTCATCTACAAGGGTGACAAAGGCAAGAAACCTGGAGGCCGACCCCAGTGTAAGCTTAACGAGGAGGCCTGGTACATCCTTTCCTCCAGCATTGGTTCCTTCTTTGCACCCTGCCTCATCATGATCCTGGTCTATTTGCGGATCTACCTAATTGCCAAGCGCCGTAACCGCCAGGGGCCCCATGGCAAGCAGGGCCTTGGTGATGGGGACACTGGGCCCTCTGGCCCTGGTGGGGCATCTGCAATATCTAAGCTGCCATCCTCTGTTCTCTCAGCTGTGGGTGAGGCCAATGGGCATTCCAAGCCTCCTGGGGAAAGAGAGGGAGGGGAGCAGATTGGAGACCCACCTTCCACACCTCCCAACCAGAGCTTTGTGGGGCCAGACGATGGCAGTCATAGGCAGGAGGAGGAAGAAGATGATGAGGAAGGAGAAGAGTGTGGGCCTTCAGCCCTTCCAACTTCCTCTTCTCCCCAAGGAACCCCAAACTTTCAGCCTCCCCAGGGCTCCCAGGTGTTGGCCACACTCCGGGGCCAGGTGCTCTTGGCCCGACAACCTGCCTCCCTGGGGTTGCAGCCATGGAGGCGTAGAACCCAGATGAACCGAGAAAAGCGCTTCACCTTTGTGCTGGCTGTGGTGATTGGAGTCTTCGTCCTCTGCTGGTTCCCTTTCTTCTTCAGCTATAGCCTAGGAGCCATCTGCCCCCAGCACTGCAAGGTCCCTCATGGCCTTTTTCAGTTCTTTTTCTGGATTGGTTATTGCAACAGTTCCCTCAATCCTGTCATCTATACAATTTTCAACCAGGATTTCCGCAGGGCCTTCCGAAGGATCCTTTGCCGCCAATGGACTCAGACAGTTTGGTGAATTGGGGTCCCAGTTAGGGTCCTTGAACCTGCCCTGTTTTATATAGTGGAGTCTTCGGGCTAGGCAGCTCCCAGTGGCCTTTTCTCTCTACCTAGTATCTGATTGTAGCCCTAGGCTCTTTAAATCCCCCTCTTCTCGATCAGCTGAGGAGCATGCTGAGGAGAGTATCATGTGTGGACGAGTGTGTGTTTTTGAGTGTGTATGTTTGTGTATGTGTCCTGGAGCATAATTTTATTTTTCCAGAACTTGGTGGGATGGAGCATTTGCTTTCCACCCTGTGTAGAGGCTGAGGCAGAGTGAGATGAGGATCCGAGGCCAAACGCTGGAGAAAACTTCACAATGGAAGAGAGACAGCTTCTTTCCTCAGCCTTGCAGTCCCCGATCAAACTGGGTACCTTTCCCTTCTCAGGGAGGCTGGCTTCCCCAATCAGCCTTGCCTGAGTTCCCTGGGAGGGCGCTTACCTGGGAATGTTTCCAAAAAGCAAGGAAGGCCAGACCTGGACGTTTCCAGGGAAGGCAAATCTCCGAGGCGGTAGTGGAGTCATCTTCTCCCTCCCCAACAGTACCCGCTTCCCTGCAGGGCTCTAAGAATTGTTGGCGGTTTTGTATCCTGGCGCTTCGCTTTTTCCGCCCTTCCTCTGGTTTGGGGCTCCTTTTCAGGAGAGCCTCTGCTTTGTTCCTTCGACTAGCTCCGCTGTGGGATTCAGCATGCCCTGCCTCTGCTTCACCCGGTGAGCCTGGATCACAGGCACTTCCCTACTCGGTGCCTCAGTCTCCCCCCTCTGCAAAAACCGGGGCAACAATAGCTTGCCGCCTACTCGCAGCAAGAAGATGAAAGGGTTTGCAAAAAGCTTTGAGCTCTGTGGGGGAACGGGCTAGAGAAATAGAGAAATAGAAAATGTGATTATCCGGTGATATAAAAATCTCCTTTTTTCTGTGTTTACCACCACCTGTCTTCCTATGGAATTTAGTTCTGTGCCGGTGTTGTATGAATTCCTACCCCAAACCCGGAAGCCAAGAGAAAGAGAGAAGAGAGTGGCTCCTTCTTTTAAAGGGTTTCATTGAAAATGTACTCCTCTTGCCTCCAAAGGTTTGAGTTATTATTTTGCATGACAACTTCTTGACATTTCACCTGAACACTAGGAGTTTCTTCCGCTGCCTTCTGTCCCCCGACACTGGATAAGTCTTTTGTCATCAGTCAGGCAAATTATTTCCCCTAAGATGCCTAAAAATACCCAGTCTGTGGGAACAAGCAGAGAGGGATGGATGATAGATGAGTATCAGAGATTTCAGGGGAATGGGGGCTGTGCACTGGACTGGGCTGCTGTTGTCAGAGCAGGTGAGAGGAGCTCTGCATTTCTTGTGGAAGTGCTAGGGAAGTCAGGTTCCTGGAACCCAGGACACCCTGGCCTTTGGACCTCACCATTTTGACCTTAGGGTGTACATTGGGATCAACACCATTAAATCAACACCATTAAAGACTGAGTTTTGTGGTTCCGCACCTCTGTGACTGGGGAGTCTCAAAGCAGCTTACCTTCTGACTCCTTCCCAGTCTCTGAACGTGGTGTCTGGTACAACTGAGAGTATATGAATGATATCCCCACTGCCCTCCTGGGATAGTATCTGGCTATCTGCCTATGATACAGAACTCCTGTAGCAATGGACAACTGGAGCCCACTTGACTACTCAATTCCTAGATGGGTGTGGGCATGTCTGTAGGTCTGACTGCCTTCTAGCACTTCTGTGGCCCTGACCTCAGACTGGTGCCTCTAGGGAGCTTTGGTTTTGGTGAAGAAAAGAGAGAGAGAGTGAGGAGGGCCCCTAGCTTAGCAACCGGGGGGATGAAGAGAGGCTAGATAAATGGGCACCACCAAGATCAGGGAATGTCTTCTTTGGGAGGAGGGGGCAGACTGGCCTTGCCTGTAGCAGTCAGAAGGAAGGTAAGGAACATTCCCGGGGAGTAGACATGACCACCATCGTGGAGCCATGACTGTGGAAAGGGACAGCCAGGCAGCGTATGCTTTCTGGTCTTGTTATTTGTGCCCTGTGGCATTCTCCTGTTTTGTCCTGACCCAGCAACGCTGCATGCAGGTGTTTCTGAGAAGTCTGAGCTTTTTTTTTTTTAATAATAAAGGATATTTTTTAATAAGGAAGTTGTGTGCTCAATGCCCAGGAAACTGCTAGGAGACTATTATTCCCATTCTCCCCCCAGCTCCTAGCACTGAGGTCTCAGGGTGAGATGAAGAAGGGCAGCTCTGTTTTTTCTCTAGGCCTTGGGAAGCTTTGGGAAATCCCAACCTTATATAGCCAAATGAGAAAGGGAACTTAAGAACAGTGGGAAGACAAAGACTGTGTATCTGTCCTTCTGGGGGGGGGGGCTCTCAGATGGTGTCTTTGGAGCTCCCTGTCTCACAGCCTTGGCCAAAGAGAATGGAGGGTAGGACAGGCAGACTTTCTCCCATATGTGGGTTGTCAAGGCTGAATGTGTGGACCCAGTGGACTAAGGGTGTGTGTGCTTCTCTGTCAGTGACAACTTAAATGATAGTTCTGCTAGAACACAGGGAAGAAGGGAAAGTGAGAGTAGCTACTACTCCCTTCAAAGAAGACTCCACAGGCTACTTTCAGCTTTAGAAAAGGACAAATGAGATGGTTGGGGTTTGTATGTGTCCAACAATGGAGCCACCATTGCCTTGTGACTTCCTGGGCATGAATAAAGCTAAAAAGGAGGAGGGTGATGGAGCATGTTCCTTTCCCTTCCCCCAATTGGCAGAGTAATTCCCCTTCTTTTTGCTCATTTATTGTTTTGTTGGGTATTTGAGTCCCTGACTCTCAGGAAGGGAACAAGTTAGTTAAAAAGCTATATTCTATTTGAGTTGCTGTTGTAAGGCAGATGCAGCTGGAGCTGAACAATAAGAGCTGTAATCTTTTGACCTGGGCAAACACAGACTATCTCGGGTGCTCAAACACAGAAGACAAACACCAAATTAATTGTAAAATAATAAAAAAAGAAGTTGGGGGAAGGGAGCATAAAGCATCCAGCCTTGGGCCTTACTAGATGTCCCTGGGTACCAGCTCCCCAGGGGACTTTGTCGATAATCTCAGGGTTTTGACCTTCCATTTCCTGCTAAATTTGCCTAATCATTGAACTCAGGACTTGAGGTACATAATATGCTTCCTGACTCTCCTGGCTCCTAAGGCACTTTGACATCTCGAGTTCTTACGCTTAAACTGCGATGATTATTTCTCTTGCAGCAGCACCATTCCCGGACACCCCTATCCTCCCGGCAATGTTCTTTCTCTGTTACCAGTACCAGCTTTTTTCACTTGCTTCTACCCATTTCCTCTCCAGCTCTCTCCACATACCCCAAGAGACTTTTCCAGGGCTTATTCACAAGGGGAAAGAGAATATGAAAATTCAGAAATAATACACCAGAGTAAGGTAATTAGAAATGTCCAACAAATAAATCTACCTAGCTCCTAAATTAGTTTGTCTCTAAACTTCCTAAGCTATTCAGCCTAGTTACAATTCCCTAGTGCCAGCTCAGATGGTCCACAATTCTCTATATAGAAGACTTGAGTGTCCAGGTGACTCAGTCAAGACTTGGTCTTCTGAACCAAATTGCTTTGGGGATTGGAGTTGGTAACCTGGGTTCTCCGGATGGAATCCATAGATCCATTTCACTGTCTCAGGCTTACTCTCAGCCAATTGGGAACTCTGCAGATGGCATTGCTGGTTTTTGGTGTTCCACCCATACTGAATCTCATACCAGAAGGACAAACAAGGAGATGCAGCAAGGTGAAGAGGTGAGAGTTCCTTTCACCTCAAAAATCAGACTAATTCAACTCAGCACACAAGTCATCCCCAAAGCTCACAGAAGACAACCTGAAACATACATTGGGTTCTTCCATCCCTATGCAGTTGTGAGAGAGTAAGGCAGGTAGGATGTATGAAGGGCTGGCTTCATACAGAGGAAAAGTAAGCAGCCATGAGGCAGGGCAAATACAGCCCTAGATCTGGGGTCAGGAAGAACTGAATTCAAATCCAGTTTATGACACTTTCTGGCTGTGTGACCCTGTTTAGGGAAAGTCACAACCTCTGTTTGCCTCAAGTTTTCATCTGTAAAACCAGGATAATAATAGCATCTACCTCCCAGGGTTGTTGTGAAGATAAAATGAGATATTATTTGTGGAGCTCTTTGCAAACCTTAAAAAGCACTACATAAATGCTATTATTGTATCACAATTGCCCACATAATAATTTGAGGGTTCCACATTACATCTCACCCCCCCCCAAGATGCCTTCCTCAGCCAAATTTGTCAAGACTCTGCCTAGTTTTCTCTTTTTCCACATTGCTAGTAATTAGGATAGGGTGGGTTGGGATTCATTTGTGACATTATTTAGAGAAAACCAAGTTTAGTCAGACAGTAGGCACTTAATAAATGGTAGCTGACCGACTGACTGTCCCTCAGGAGATGGAACACAGGGCTGGTAATTTTCAGTGGGAGGCCAGGAAAGTCAAGAAAAAGGGATGAGGAAAGCCACTTTGGGCAATCAATATCAATCGGAAAACATTCATTAATCACCTACCATATGCTAGGAATCTCGCTGAGCTCTGGGGACACGAAAAGAGGTTACCCGCCAGAACCTCCCCTCAGTTATTGCTATCAAAGAGCTTACATATGAATCCAGAGCTTTTTAACTTGGGGACTAAGAATTAAAAAAAATATTTTGATAACTGTATTTCAATATGATTGGTTTCCTTTGTTTTCCTATGTATTTTATATTATTCATTATTCTGAGAATGTCCCCATAGGCTTCAACACATTGCAAAAGGTGTCAATGACACAAGAGAAGCCCTATTCTGATGGGGTTCTCATCAGCATACAAATGACCAGGTCCAAACAAGATATATACAGAGTAGAGGGAAGTTAATCTCAGAAGGGAATGCTCTAGCAGCTGATGTAGTGGGAAACAACCTGATAACAGCCTCCTTTAGAGGATGACATTTTAGTTAAGACTGGAAGGAAGCCAAGGGAGCTCAAAGGTGGAAGTGAGAAGGGAGAACATTCCAGGCTGGGGGCACAACCACTGCAAAAATGTGGAGTCAGGAGACAGGGGGTGTCTTATTTGAGGAAACAGTAAATGAGCTAGTGTATCTGGAAATTAGAATGGGTGGAAGGGTATAAAGCAGGGGTGGGGAACCTATGGCCTCCAGGCCACAGGTGGCCCTCTAGGTCCTCAAGTGCGGCCCTTTGACTGAATCCAAACTTCACAGAGCAAATCCCCTTAATAAAAGGATTTATTCTGTAAAATTTGAACTCAGTCAAAAGGCCACACCCAAGGACCTAGAAGGCCACCTGTGGCCTGGAGGCCACATAGGTTCCCCACTCCTGGTAAAGAGTTAGAAGAATGGAAAGGTAGGAAGGTCCAGGTTATGAAGAACCTGAAATGCCAAACAGAGGACTTTTCATCCTGGAGGTATTGAGCAAGAGGGTGACATGGTCAGACCTGCGCTTGAAGACAGCCACCCTGGCAGCTGGAGGTGAAGTCATGTACTCTTCAGATGGGGACTGAGTGGATGATAAACACACTTTTGCCTAGGTGGGGAAGGCTTGGGTGAACAGTATATGTTTGTTGAGTTCAGTTGATGGTGTGGGGTTGATGGCTACCAAGCTCCCCCAAACTATTTCTCATTTATATATAGATATCTTTCAGAGACCTCCAAGATAGAGCAACCAATCCAATAACATCTATTGATATTGACTTAGTGGATAGACTGTTAGACTAAGATTCAGGAAGACCTGTATTCAAATTCTGTATAAGTCAAATTCTATATACCTTAAAACAGTATAGAGGTTGGCCCAAACGTCTTAGTGAAGTTTTAAGCTCTAGTAGTTTAAAACTGCCCTAAGACTTTTGGAATGCCCTGTATAAATGCACAGACATTA